ATAGCAATATGTAAAGTAAGAAAATTTTTTATAAAAGTCATTTGAAATATGACGAGATTTCAAAACTACTGGACCACTATACAATAATAATTGTCTAAAATCTGTAGCTTTCCATGGTCTCACATTTTCAATGATCGAGGCTTCCTAGCAAAGTCCTTGGATATATAAATCTTTAACTGCATAAAAAATTGGAAAAGTCATTAGTTTTAGCACATGGCAAACGAATTGGAAGCTCACCTTCAGTCCACAAAAGCATCAATCTCTTACTGCTCCTAAACAAATCAAATTCATATAGTCAAGTGGTACATTAGTAACTAAACCAATGTACGGTATTTCAAGCAATCTCGTATAGCAATTGTAGTAGTGTTCATCTTCTAAGCTTCGAAAGTGTTCAGCTGTTCTTGCAGGTGATTGCATTTTTGGAAAGCAAATTCTGCGATTAATATTTGAACCACGAACAAGACATTTCGAGCAACAGAAGCAGCCTGTGTGTCCCTTTGTCTGCAATATAAATAATTTGGCGGGAGTATCACAAACAAAATATTTGATGCGTACCTTATATTGTTTCCCATTGTGATCAAAACCCAGTGCTTAATAGACCAAGCTGACATGTTCGAAGTATTCGAGAGAGGCAAACCATCAACATTAATTTCTAATTCAATGATAGAAGATATCAATTTCAACCTATCAATAGAATCTTTCAATCCAGTTAATAAACCAAAATGAATATATTCACCTGGACTTACAATTTTGGATACAGCAGTTCTTTTTGTTTTCAGAAGTGTTCTACTATCTGCTGGTAAAACACTGAAACAATCATGAAGTTTTAGCCCTTTAAGTAGTGCAAATACAGCATTATGAGGTATCTGACACACAGCCCAGTCTGCTAAAAATTGTCTTGCATCAAAAACTTCAGTTATATCTTCATTGAAACTATCCTCGCTATATGAAAGAAAAATATAATCATTTGTTTCAACATCACCCTGTAACTCTGCCTGGCAAGAAGACGGTCCTTCAAAGTCATCTCCAGTAGAAGCATTAGTCGCAGTTTCAATATTATCTATTGTAAAAGCACTAGTACTAGGCAATCCTTTACGCATTCAGAGTTCTGCAAAACACTTTCCGAACGTAATTTCTGCACTTCCCAAAAAAATCTTTTATAAAAATGTCTATCTGACACAGTCGCAATGTGTTTGCGAATTTTTTTATTAGACATATTTATTTATAGATTTTTTTTTGACAAATTACAGAGTCAAACAACAAACAAATTACGAATATATTATATTCTAATATTGTTTAGAATTTTAGTAGCATAAGTATACGTATATAGTACTCAGTACTATAGTAAAGTACTCAGGTTAGGTTATACTTGTTCATCGTGTTTATCTATGACAGTCATGAGAACAGACAAAGAAATACAAATGCCGAATAACATAAGTGCCGCCATCTGTGCGCTAGTTGCGCAAACGCCGCGCACGCGTATGCGCATGCGCGGTATCTTTGAATACATTTTTCATTTGCCCCTAACAACTCGGTGAGTAATGGGTCAGAGTAGGTCGACCATTGTTTGACCCGGCGGGTAACGTATAGGTCTAAACCCACTGCGTCATAAATTGGCCCATAATGGGCTTATAATAACCCGGTAGGCTGTAAATGGTACCAAACAGGTCGACCATTGTTTGACCCGTGCTGTATGGGGAATCGACAAAAAGAAATATATATTGTCACACATCAAAGTTCAATACTTAGACAATACTTTATTATATTTACGATACTTTGTTAATTCTATTTTTTCTCAAATAAATTGCACAAAGCCAACATATATAAACATATATTTAAACAAACTATTCAAAATTTAGTAACTTTCGCAAACGACAATAACATTAAGTATTGTCATAATGAAGATTAATACTAAAACTGTATACACTATCTTTCACTTTCGTGTATGGTGTGTATTCATCAAACACTATTCTCGCTATATATATTTGACAAACTAAACAAATGACAATAAAAATAAATATTGCCCATCAAAATTCAATACTTTGTTAATTCATTTTTAAAATAAATTTTTTTAAAAATTTAAATTAAATTGCACAAAGCCAACATATTCAATAACCTATTCAAATATTTAAAAATTTCTGAGAAGACAAAATTATAAGGTTGCCGCATAAACAAGAACAATACTAGTCAATACTTTGTGTATAGCTGTATAATAATATATATATATATTATATATTATATAATATACATATATATGTGTATGTAAATGTATTACATAATATATACATCAGAAAATATTCTCCACTATTTAAAATTTGATAAGATGTATGACAATATTATTAACTATTGTCACATCAAAGTTCATACTAGGATAATATATCTGATGCATACTTACAATACATAGTTAATTCCATTTTTTTTTTAAATACTTGCATAAAGCCAACGCATTCGATAAATTTTTCAATAAAATGAGCTATATTCTCGAATGTTTAAAATTGCCAAACTCAACAAATGTCAATAATATTAAATATTGTCCCATCAAAGTTCAATACATAAAAATACTTCTGCATACTCACAGTACTCTGTCAAATCCATCTTCTGTAAAAATTCACAAAAATGTACAAACCACAACACAAACATAACTTCCATGAATTATCCGAAATCAGCAAAAATCTGCAAATGACAATACAATTAAATAAATGACAATGATGAACAATATTTTAACAATATTTCAGCATACTCACAATACTCCAAATATTTTGTATATTAATTGTATCACTTATTCCAAAACACATGTTGAACATAACCTCTGAAATGTGCACAATAATTATGGCGTTATTAGCTGATGACAATAAATTGCGGTATTGACACACAATAGTACAATATTCAAGCAATAATTATCCGAAGTGTCAACACTATAAAATCATTTTTTATATCTTTATTCCATTTCATAATATTCGCTCACAACTCACAACTTGCAACAAATTGCAATGAAGATGCATTTTGTTAGTTTAGGAGTGCCCGATGCGAATAAACGTTAATTTTTAAAAATTCAAATTGATGAAAGTGGTAAATTTGAAAGCGGTAAATATATATTTTTAACTTCCCGTAGGGTAAGTTATTGTAATGGGCCGAAAATCGGAATTGAATATTTTTACTTTCTGACGTTTGAAGCTGAACGTTTTGGCATACCTCAGAAAAAATGGATGTGTGTGTTGGTGTGTGTGTATGTATGTATGGATACAAATTTCCAGTCACGTTTTCGGGCGCACGGAGCAACCGATTTGAATGGTTCAAAAAACATTCGATTCCTATCGATAGGGAAAAGAGCTGATTAGTTTTTGGCAAGGCAGGTCCAGCCGTTTCGGGGATACGGAGCAAAGAGTGCAGAAAATAGAAATCGACTTTTTGAGAGAACGGAGTATCCGATTGAATGATCTAAAAAAATTCAATTAGTAATGGTTGGGAGAAGTGTTTATTAGTTTTTGGCAAAGGTAGGCCCAGCCATTTCGAAGATACGGAGCTAAATATGTAAAAATGGCAGTTTTTGAGAGAACTAAGCGTCCATTTGAATGATTCAAAAAACTTTCTGCTTGTCTTAACAAAATAATTGATTTTGGAAAAAAAATTTTTTCATTTTTTTTTTTAATTTTTTTGTATATCGAAAATAATTCAGATTTTATTTTTAATTCTGACTATAGTTTTAATATACTTAAACAAATATTTTCAACTTTGCAATTCAGTTTATAAAATACTTATAAATATAGACAATGTTTACAATATTTTATTTGAAAACATTCAGTATTCCTCGAACATTTCGTTACGGTACGGGAAGTTCCAGCAATTTGCCTTAAGGCACGATGCCACCACCCCCCACTAGTTATTTTAGGTCTAGGTGCAAGCGGCAATGTGCCTTAATGTCGACAAAAGGTCAAATTTTGGCTCATACACACATTTTTTTACAAATTTGGGGTCAAGTAACTCTGAATGACTTGAAATGTTGAGTAAATATAAAATCAGCAAGTCGGATTTTCTGGCAAAACAAACTTCTCCTTGGGGAAGTTGAAAAAATAAGTTCTATTAAATATTTTATAAGATCTATAACAATTTGTTTTTATAAATTGCAAATCAAAATATTGTATATTGTTTTTGTAAAGTATATACAGCAAGAATGTGTATTAACAAAGTTATAACAATTAATTTTTATTCAAGAACAATTTCATATAGTTTTTGATGCTTAAAGTAAACTCACACACACACATCCATTTTTCCTGAGGTATGCCAAAATGTTCAAGAACCTTCAAAACGTGAAGAAACGTAAACATTTACAATTACAGTTTTTGGACAATTACAATAACTTATCCCATGAGAAGTTATTTATTAAAAAGAAAGAGTAAAAATATGAAGCCCCAAATTTAAAATTACATTTAATTTAAAGATCACACAAATTTGTTATAAAATAAAAACGTTTAATCAATTTGGTCTTTTGGTTTACAAAATAAATATAAAACCTATTGTCGATACAAAAAATTACAATTATTATTATTATAAATAATACTATAAATAAAATTATTATTATTATTTCTATCAGCAGTCATGTATCAGTTCCTGATTATGTAAATCCATTATTGATGATTTATAATTACTCTCTTGTGTGAACAGGCATGTGCCTTTTCAAATTACTCTATAGTCTGAATGCATGGTTGCATATTTTGCATTCATGGGGTGCAATTGTGTGAATGTCTTATTGCATATTTTACATTTGTGGGGCCGTTCCCCACTGTGAATCAAGATATGTCCTGTCAAGCTATATAAACATATGGATGCCTTCTTGCATATCTTACATTTGTGTGAACGGTCACCAATGTGAATTTGCATATGCTTATTCAAGACACTTGGATCTGTGAATGTCTTATCACATATTTTGCCTAGAGTGAATGAGCATATGTCTATTCAAGTTACTCGAATGTGTAAAAGTCTTATCACATATTGTACATTTGTTAGGACGTTCCCCAGTGTGAATGAGCATATGTTGTTTCAAGCTTCCTCGATTGTCTAAATGTCTTATCACATATTGTACATTTGGTAGAGAGTCCACCAGTGTGAATGGGCATATGCTGATTCAAATGAGACAAACGTATGAACTTCTTACCACATATTCTACAAATATGAGCTCGTTCACCAGTGTGAGTGAGCATATGTTGTTTCAAGCTAGTCGAACGTGCAAATGCCTTATCACATATGGTACATTTGTGAAGAAGTTCCCCAGTGTGAATGAGCATATGTCGATTCAAATCGCTCAAACGAGAGAATGTCTTATGACATATTTCACATTTATTAGGACGTTCCCCAGTGTGAGTTAGCATGTGTTGATTCAAGCCACTCGATTGTGAGAATGTCTTATCACATATTGTACATTTATAAGAACGTTCACCAGTGTGAACGAGCATATGTCTTTTCATACTATCCAACCGTAAGAATGTCTTATCACATATTGTACATTTATTAGAGCGTTTCCCAGTGTGAATGAGCACATGTTGATCCAAATGACCCAATCTTAGGAATGCTTTATCACATAGTTGACATTTATACGGTCTCTTTGCAGCATGAATATTTTGTTTTCGATTACCAGATTCATTCAAGTGTAAATTTTGTTCTCTGGCACGAACACAAATGTGTTGATCTAAATCATATTTATTAAATGCTTTATTGCACTTTGTACATTTGGTATGTTTTTCACCTGTATGAGATTTCAGATGTATTTTTAATGCACTTGCTTCTAGAAAAGTCTTTGAACAATCAGTACACTTATGACTATGATTTACCATATGCTGTTCTAAATATTGCAACTTTCTAAATATTCTATTACATTTGTCACATTTATAAGGAGGCTTCTGAATTAATTCCTGTTGGAGTTCTTCTTCTATCTTTACTATAGAATTCATGAATCTCTTAAGACATGTTTTATCATCATCTGAATATTCTTCAGGCTCTTTTTCTATTTCTTGTTGAATATTTTCAATTGGAAATTCTTCAGGTTCTATTTTAACTATAATTTCATCTAATTGTTTTGTGGAACAAGGACAAATGTGTTGATCCAGATGATATTTTGTAGTAAATGCTTCATCACACTTTGTACATACAAAATGATTTGCAACCGTGTGACTTCTCAGATGTATTTCTAATGTACTTGCATCTGATAATGTCTTTGAACAATCAGTACACTTATGACTATGATTTACCATATGTTGTTCTAAATAATGCAACTTTCTAAATGTTCTATTACACTTGTCACATTTATAAGGGGGAGTTTCAATTGATTCCTGTTGGACTTCTTCTTCTATCTTTACTACAGAGTTCATAAACCTTTTCAGACATATTTCGTCATTCTCTGAATAGGATTCAGGGTCTTCTTCTATTTCCTGTTTGATGTCTTCGATTGGATATTCTTGTGGTTCAATTTTAATTATCGGATCATCAGCAGCTTCTGACATTTTGAAATACTTGTGCACTGCATGTATTCTGTAAGTATTGACAAAAGTAGTTAATTACTATTTAATGAGCTATTGCTAAATATGATAATTTAACTAGTTATTGACAGTTCGAGAATAAAATATTTCAGAAAGAAAATCATTCATCCAGTTGTAATATTTCACAGAATGGATTTATATCTTAAGCAAGTTTTACCTTCAAATCTATTTTTACATTAAATTAACTGTATTCAATTTTGAATAATGTATGTCTTCAAGATGACCCATTCCTCAAAATCTTTTTGACAGATGTGAAACTATTTGTTTCACACTTTTGGCTTATTGCAGAACTGAAATATAAGAAAGCACGATCGAGCTTTAATTATCCATTTCCTACCTATATTAAAAATTAAATATTTATAGTTCTTTCTGTGTTAAATAAATATAATAAAAAGTTAATCATGAGAAATAACTTCAAAGTATTTTACACTACCTTAATGTTTATCAATTAATCTCATCAATACTGCACTTTAAAATAAAATAATAATTATACTTATATCTTTATAGAATATATTTATTATAGCATTTAATCAATATCTCTGTTAATAATTAAATAGATGACAAATAAAATGTCACATCAGTTCATTAAATAATTTGTTTGACAGTTAAACGAACTTCGATTGAACATGGCGGCGTTCTATTGTCAACGTTGCCAACATAAGAATATTAACGAGATATTTATTTCAAAAATAATTAATTAATTTATTTTATTTTATTACAAAAATGGTTAAACTTGTGGAGTATAGAAGTCAACAGCAGCAAGTCAAAACACATAATTTTAACTCTTTGCAAAGGGACTTGTCCTGCAGTAAGACTTAATGACAAAATTATAGATCAAACAGATACAGTCAAATATCTAGGTTTACACCTGTAAGGAACTCATTAAGAAAAATAGGTAGCAGCTTGAAGAAACCAGAAGAAGATATTATGGCTCTCGGACAAAAATCAAAACTTGACACGCATAATAAAAAGAGTGCGCGTAAGGATCACACGCGATTGAAGTAAAACTTTTATATTGTATGAGTAGGCAATTAAGATAAAAATAAAAAAACATCATATTTGAATTTTAAAAATCATTTATTAATAATCACATAACATCAATAACACAGTTTAAAACAACAACGATAGATTAATTGCTATCATATTTCATATATGATATAATAGGTTTGTGATAACTGAAATGAGAGACATAAATTTTGCTTTGTAAACTATGTACATTTCTGGAGAAAAACTGCATCAATGGTCGTGCCATATCTTGTGGTTGATTCAAATGGAGAATTATTCATTGTTAAATTAAATGTATTATTTAAAAAATCAATTAATGGTTGAGATTCTTCTGAACGAAAATTGACATTGAAATCTCCAGCAAGAATTAATGGTATCTCGTTATGATTAGTGTTTAAAAGTTTTGCACCCTATTAGAAAAAAAGTAAGTAACTGCTGATGAAGAAATTCAATAATATTTGATATGTTTTTATGGGAGAAATTTAAAGGACGACTATAATTAATGTTTGATTCTGTGTGTGTAATATCACCTACTTGTGTAATTTCATTAGGAATATCCAGTAATATCGTTGGGCGCAAGAAAACTGCATAAGAGTCGCATTATGAAGAGTATCTGAACATGAATGATAGACATTAGACAGCTACACCACCTGCTCTTGAGTTTGATCGTTGTATTGAGTAACGCAGTAATAGTTCTGAATATCAATTCGTTCTTCATTATTAATCCAAGTTTCCGAAAATAACCAAAAACGTACAACGTTGTAGCACTTTATCTTGCAGATCAGGCAAATGAGCTCGTAAACTTTGGCAGTTAAAGGAAAACAGTGAAATGTCGTTCAAACTTATTATCTCACTCAATTTTTCTTCTTGTGTATTAATCTACAAGTTGAAAGTCTTTGGAATTCAGTTTTAAGTTCATTAATCCTGCTGGCCGTTTTCTTCCATTATAAAATTTTTGTCGTTGTTTTAGAAATGATGAACAATCCATTAATGCTGGTAACTCGTGATAATGCAACATATAGAAGCTGCTGATTATGTGTTTTATTGAATTCATATTACAATTTCATCAAAAGTACCACCTTGTGATTTGTGTATTGTGAGTGCACAAGCAGACACTAAAGGAAAATGATTTCTTTTGGCAAATATGGTTTTATTTCTATTCATTGGAATAGATAAGATCTCCTGAGAATCGGCACAGCTGTCCTACTGATATTAAGAGTTTGAATATGATGTGCAGCTTTCTTCCTAATTTTGTTACCTATCTTACCAGGAAATTCAAACATAAACCTAGAAGTTTATCATTATCGCCACGTTCTATGTACACTAATTTTCCTACACAACCATTAGCTAAGCCATCACTTACATCAATATTAGTTGTTATTATGTAAAATTTATTCAGACTAAAATTTTCAGAACTAAAATTATTTCATAACCGATTTTTGTGAAACTGCTGACGAATGTATGATTGTTGATCTGTCGCATGGCAACCTACATAAATATCCGTGGCAGTAGATATTATTTTGTCTTCAACGAGATTCAGTATAAATTTATTATATTCCATGACACATTTATTCTCTAAGAAAAGTCTTCAATTAATGCAAATTCATATAGGGTTTAGCGCTCGACTTACGCATGACATGACGGGAGTGGATACTCGCGACATCAGCGCTTACGGCGTCGTAGTGTTCAACTACACGTTGGCGTTTTCGTTGCATTTGTACGGATTTACACCCGTGTAGCCTAAAAAATTTTTACACCCATATCTCGCCTAAAGAAGTTTTACTTCAAAAATTTACCTCTATGAAGCTATCATTAAACCAATTTGGACATACGGCATACAGCTATAGGGATCAACTTCCAACTCAAACGCTTTAATAATTCAAAGATTTCAAAACAAGTTATTAAAATAAATTTTGAAAGCACCAAAGTATGTTCCAAATTGGTTAATACACAAAGACACAGGCACTAGCACAGTTAAGAATGAAATAATCGCTTACTCACACAAATATAAAAATCGCCTAGCTGATCACCCGAAATTGCTCGCCAGAAAACTTTAGAACAGCTCTACAGGGCCCGATTAAAAAAAAAATCTTCTGTATTAATCAACAATAGATAAGACCTTCGACAAATCACTGGCAATGGTCAGCTGATTTGTATTTTGCCAATGCCTTCAGTTTCATGACAAATATTTTACTTGTTGTCCGTTTCAGGACAGTTGTAAATAAAAAAAAGAAAGAAATAAAAAAAATTTTATTAATTATTAAAGTTAACTAGCGATCCATGGCATTGCAAAAGACATACACGTTTTTCCCTTCAAATTTTCATATCAAAAAGTGAATGTCCATGCTTTTTCACTCATTTCAAACGTCTCAAACATATACATATTTTTCCTTTCATGTCAAAAATCCATAGACTATTATGTTATAAAGCACCAAATTCAAAATTATATTTAATTTAAAGATCACATAAATCTGTTATGAAATGAAAACGTTTAATCAATTTGGTCTTTTGGTTTACAAAATAAATATAAAACCTATTGTTGATACAAAAAATAAAATTATTATTATTAACTTCCCGTAGGGTAGTAATAGTAATGGGCCGAAAATAGAAAATGAAATGTTTTGTATATCTTTACGTTTTGAAGGTTTCTGAACATTTTGGCATACCTCACAAAACCCATTCAAAACGGTTCAACCGATTTGAATGGTTCAAAAAACATTCGTTTCCTATTGATAGGGAGATATACTGATTAGTTTTTGGCAAAGGCAGCTCCAGCCGTGACGGAGATACAAGGCAAAGAGTGCAGAAATAGAAATAGAGTTTTTGAGAGAACGGAGTATCCGGTTTGAATGATCTAAAAACATCCAATTTGTAATGATTGGGAGGAGAGGTGATTAGTTTTTGGCAAAGGTAGGTCCAGCCATTTCGAAGATACAGAGCTAAATATGCAAAAAATTGCAGTTTTGAGAACTAAGGGTCCGATATGAATGATTAAAAAACTTTCTGCTTGTTTTAACAAAACAATTTCTTTCGGAAAAAAAATATTGTTTGAAATTTTTTTTTTCAAAAATTTATTGTTTATATATTTCTAAAAATATTAGACAATGTTACAATATTTATTTATGATAAGCTATTTGAAAACACTTAATATTCCTGAAACATTTCGTTACGGTACAAGAACTTCCAACAATTTGCCTTAAGGCACAATGCCATACACCACTAGTTTCTATCAGTCATGTATCAGTTCCTGATTATGTAAATCCATTATTGAATACTTAAAATTACCCCAACATTTGTCCTGTCAAGCTTTATGAATATATGAATGCCTTCTTGCATATCTTACATTTGTGTGGACGGTCACCAATGTGAATTTGCATATGCTTATTCAAGACACTTGGATCTGTGAATGTCTTATCACATATTTTGCCTAGAGTGAACGAGCATATGTCTATTCAAGCTACTCAATTGTCTAAAGTCTTATCACATATTGTACATTTGTTAGGACGCTCCCCAGTGTGAATGAGCATATGTTGTTTCAAGCTACTCGAATGTGTAAAAGTCTTATCACATATTGTACATTTGTTAGGACGTTCCCCAGTGTGAATGAGCATATGTCGTTTCAAGCTACTCGAATGTGTAAAAGTCTTATCACATATTGTACATTTGTTAGGACGTTCCCCAGTGTGAATGAGCATATGTTGTTTCAAACTACTCAATTGTCTAAAAGTCTTATCACATATTGTACATTTGTTAGGACGCTCCCCAGTGTGAATGAGCATATGTTGTTTCAAGCTACTCGATTGTCTAAATGTCTTATCACATATTGTACATTTATTACAGCTTTCACCAGTGTGAATGGGCATATGTTGATTCAAATGACTCAAACGTATGAACTTCTTACCACATATTCTACAAATATAGGCTCGTACACCAGTGTGAATGAACATATGATCTTTCAAATGGCACAAATGTATAAACTTCTTACCACATATTCTACAAATATGAGCTCGTTCACCAGTGTGAGTAAGCATATGTTTATTCAAGCTACTCAAATGTGCAAATGCCTTATCACATATTGTACATTTATTAGGGCGATCCCCAGTGTGAATAAGCATATGTTGTTTCAAGCTACTCGATTGAGTAAAAGTCTTAGCACATATTGTACATTTGTTAGGACGTTCCCTAGTGTGAATGAGCATATGTTGTTTCAAGTTACTCAATTGTGCAAATGCCTTATCACATATTGTACATTTATTAGAGCGTTCACCAGTGTGAACGAGCATATGTCTTTTCAAACTATCCAATCGTAAGAATGTCTTATCACATATTGTACATTTGTTACGAAATTCCCCAGTGTGAATGAGCATATGTGTTTCAAGCTACTCAAATGTGCAAATGCCTTATCACATATTGTACATTTATTAGGGCGATCCCCAGTGTGAATAAGCATATGTTGTTTCAATCTACTCGATTGAGTAAAAGTCTTAGCACATATTGCACATTTGTTAGGACGTTCCCCAGTGTGAATGAGCATATGTTGTTTCAAGTTACTCAATTGTGCAAATGCCTTATCACATATTGAACATTTATTAGGGCGATCCCCAGTGTGAATAAGCATATGTTGTTTCAAGCTACTCGATTGAGTAAAAGTCTTAGCACATATTGTACATTTGTTAGGACGTTCCCCAGTGTGAATGAGCATATGTTGTTTCAAGCTACTCAAATGTGCAAATGCCTTATCACATATTGTACATTTATTAGAGCGGTCCCCAGTGTGAAGGAGCATATGACGATCCAAATAACTCAATCTTATGAATGCTTTATCACATTGTTGACATTTATACGGTCTCTTTGCAGCATGAATATTTTGTTTTCGATTACCAGATTCATTCAAGTTTTGTTCTTTGGCACGAGCACAAATGTGCAGATCTAAATCATATTTATTAAATGTTTTATTGCAATTTGTACATTGGAATGTTTTTCCCCTGTATGAGATTTTAGATGTATTTCTAATGCACTTGCATCATGAAAGTCTTTGAACAATCAGTACACTTATGACTATGACTTACCATATGCTGTTCTAAATATTGCAACTTTCTAAACGTACTATTACATTTATAAGGAAGATTCTGAATTAATTCCTGTTGGGGTTCTTCTTCTATCTTTACTATAGAATTCATGAATCTCTTAAGACATGTTTTATCATCATCTGAATATTCTTCAGGCTCTTTTCTATTTCTTGTTGAATATTTTCCATTGGAAATTCTTCAGGTTCATTTTAACTATAATTTCATCTAATTGTTTTGTGGAAACAGGACAAATGTGTTTGTCCAGATGATATTTTGTAGTAAATGCTTCATCACACTTTGTACATACAAAATGATTTGCAAC